GTGTTTCAGAATTGTGTCCTGGGAGCGAAGAGTTAATAAGTACACTCGACAGCGAATCAAATTTACTTGGACGGTTTCTTGTAACGCCAAACCCCCCCCCCCCGGTGTGTTGTTTTTGCTGACTGACACTCTAAACATCTCAAAGCTAACACCCCTACCAGTCTGATCTGTCAGTAGTGATGAGGCGTTTGTGAAATCGCACATTTCGTTCATAATGGAAAATTCAAACAGGAGCAGAAACTCTAGTGTTTAACATCGACTTCTTTATCAATTTGTTGTCAGCTGTGAAGAGAACGTCTTGGTGCTTGTTGTGACCAACTTTCCAGACATTACTCTCATTCCTGGGAGTAAAACTTTCGTGATATACTAAAAACCTGGCAAGTAATACTGGTTTATTTTGGGAAGCATGAATAACACTCACCGCATCTGATGCCGACTGCACTTGTTTAAAAAAACTTTCGCTGGCTGAAAGTGTTTCATAGCAGCAACTGTTTGGCTCTGGTGGAAATCTTCACGTCCAACCAGATTGAACGCTCCTACTTTTTATTGATTTTGTTTAGGTATAACCGGGATTTCGCTAAAGTACCGATCTGATGAATCAACATGGTTGAGAACATATTCTACCGCTTGTGTCACTGTAAATAGTTAATTTTTATGTTCGGTAGTATCGCTTACGTAGAAACACAAGAAGAAGGTAAGAAGGAGACAAGTGATTCGCTCAAGATGGCAATCCTCACCAGAAAGAATTATCTTCTCCGGTCCTAATTTGTTATTGTTGTTTTATCCCTTTGGTGTGAATACTTTGTATGAAAAGGCATCCACTCAAAGATTGTCTGCGTGAACAACGCTCATTATGGATTTTTTGCTTACTCAAATTGTCCGAATACGGACGATAATATCTGTCTAACAACCTATGATTCAAATGAATAAAGCGATATGCTGTAGTTTTATTCAGCATATAACAGTTCAGCTGATGGAATTAATGTTGAGAAACTAAACTCTTTTTATCATAGGAAATAACAAAGGAAGATCTCCAAGAGCCCTGTCTTGAGAGAAACATCACTTCTGAAGCATTGAGTGGTGTTCGATCGCTATCCGCATCGGATGCCTATAGTTGTGGTTAACACCATATGGATAACAGAGATCTGCACACTAAGAAGCACAAGAAATCTCACGCTTCTGATTGAACCAACTGGCTTTCTTAGAGATCTGTTGCCAAAAATCGACCGAGTCGCCACTTACAGTGAGCACATCAACATTGTGAATATGTGTCAGTTAATCAACTGAAATTTTATTTAAGGTTTAACGTGTCAGCCTAGAAAAAAGAGACCTTCAACATCATTTTGAGGTCCTGTAAGAGCTCAGTTTGGACACCAAGTTCTCCTATTGTTCGTGAATTGGAGATACCAGCTTTTCCATCAGGATATTAATTCTTACCCTGCTGAGATAGCTTTCCTGAGTACCTTGCAATCGACAGTTGCCATGGCATGCAAAATTGTCAGGTTACCTGTTTGCTACTCCTGCTTTGGCTTCGATCAGGATGACTCACTACAAGCGCACTCGTTACATGCACCTACGTCAGTGTAATACCGTAAAGTGTGCTTGACGTGCAGAAGTGCGTGCACTTTGGAGGCGGCGACTACCAATAATATGGCAGAGATGAGGGCTACTTTGCTACGTGCAGAAGGCTTGAAACTTGTATGAATTGAGTAATGCAACCCCTATTTAGTTGGAAAGGATATCACGTCACAAATTCTTCAGTGTGCTCGGACAATTCAAGCCGAATTCGATTCGTGACAATTGCTTGTTTAGATTTTAATGTTAAAGTTATGGGATAAGTACATTTCATGTGGTTGGACTGCTGTTCAGTTGGTACTTGGAAAAACCAGGTAGTGGATTTTGAGTACAACAAGTACTATTAGGTTGAACGTTCTCCAAATCTACTATTGATAGGTACGAAGCAATCATGGTTTAACGATGCACTTCCGAGACATATACCAGGAATCATTCGTCTCTTTAACACATCAGGATTGTGCAACTGACCCTTTGTCTGCGCAAGAGATATGAGCCGAACTGCAAAACAGCGGCACAGATTTATGCATGTCACCAAGCCATGTTTCTTTATAATTTGGTAAATAGGTGCTGGGTACTTACGGGGATTTCCATAGGGCAGGATTTTCGTTGACTTAGGAACAGCACTTCCGTAAAAACGGTAACAGATTCCAATGCACTACATCTTGGAGGCGTGATTCTTGGTTCAACCATTCAACGGTCCGAACATTCATCTGACTACCGCAAAGTGGTATAATGTTGCAGCCTAATTTCAGGAAGATATGGACAACACATCTATTATCTGTAGCATGCATTCCATCGAACCTCATTTATGTCTGAGAACAGTTGATTCCGCCATAAAAAGTTCATTTACCTTGATTCTACGGTGCTGTTGAAATAAATGGTGACCAACTTGTTATTAGACTGAAGGGTATCTCTGTCTTGAAGTTTTTTTTGTCATATGTCAAGGGTTACTTTAGTCAAGAATAGGTGAAACACCTTAGAAAGGTCATCCATTCTATTTCACCATGTCAAACCTACGATCATCTTCTCACAAGGACCCAAGACATTGATTGGTTTTACCACACTCCACAGATCTCATCAGTTCATTCGTTAGGTAACAGTTTGCTTCATGCCTATTTCACACCTACGTGTAAAGAAAGTATGCTATTTGTAGAAATTATGGTGTTCATCGTGCAGTATATATTTTCATCCGTCATTTTGATGTGCGAGAAAAGTGGTTTCATCACCTTGCTGATGTGAGGTGCAAACTTGTGAGTTTTTGACGATAGCATTATCACTTGGGTTGGCATATGAGCCGGTACATCTGATGAGTCGGTTGGCAATGCATTCCCCACTCGGTGCCTGCGAGACTGATACTCAAAGTAGGGAAGCTTATTCCTTCATGTACGGAAATTCTTAGTAGATATTTCGTCTTGCCATTTAGACCAGTCCTCAGCAATGTTGCGTCTCACGAGATTCAATGGAGTCTCGAACTCGCGACCTACCGGCTGGTAGTTTGAACACTTACCTTTTTGGCCACCAACAGGAATAAATTTCAAATGAATTTACGAAATCTGCTCACGCTATCAACACAGTTGGATTTCCTCATGACTGAGCTAAGTGCACTCTCTTAGCGCCTTGGAATGACGCGGTTCCGTTACCTATATTACATGCGTTCTTGTGGGAGAGGGTGCACCCGACATGTGAGCGGTTTACGGCTCCGACTCGTTCTCTCGATTAGTTAATAGCTCGTCAGCTCGCAAGTTAAGATAGCACATTTGTGGTGATTTAGTCATTTGCGTTCAGAATGGCGCTTATTTGCATGTTCGTTTGTGCAAACGGGTGATTTGGTCGAGATCCCAATGTTTGAAATGTTTAATGTTTTTCAAACGAATATGAAGTGGTAACGTTACCTGAAGTTTCATTTGGGCGATATTCAGCATATCGAAGTATTTTTTTCTTCAAGAGCGGTTTAGCTTACGAGGATTGGGGCAGTCGACAGTTTGGCGGAGGAATGGAACCCCTTATCCTGGAACACATACTTACTGGCGAGCTATGATGCACCTAAGTCCTTTTGTTAACTACTACAGAGGAATACTTCGAAGAGGCAATCTTGTGGGATGTGTCGATATCTTTGTAACAATAAATATCCCCGCAGAAATAATTGAAACGATAGATCCAAATGGTTATCGAACGTTTTGGAATCAGTTTCACAACTGCTGGGTCTGCGATGGAATTCATCCAGCAGCGAACACAGATTAGAGGGAGTTTGCGTATCTGATCCACTCTCAGCGGATCTGGCCGAACCAGCACCGATTGGCAGTACACTTCTCCCAGAAACGAACCTCACTGTTGCTTTAGAAATAACCACGAAGATTTCTGTTTCACGTCATTTAGGTACTCGTTATGATGGGACACTTATGGTTTCGAACCTCTGTGTTTGATAACCGCCCCAGTCGCAGTACTGGCAAGCGAAAGTTGGGGCAGTAAATACAGTTAAATTGAGCACCACATGTACACAATGAGAGCGACGGTAGTGAAGGAATCTCTGATTTGTCGTGTTGTGTGTTCATCCAAATACATTTATTTGACCTTCAGAACTAAAGTCTATGGGTCCAAAAACAGGTAAAAATGAAGCAAACGGCACTTTATCCTTTTAGTGGTGATCAATATGTGAGTGTTTGCATCCAGTTCGCCTTGGCGGTAAAGCTTAGGAATGTTTGGTGATGAACTAAGCAGCCCTGGATAGTCTAGCCATTGTTAGGTATTTGATTACTGTCGATAAAATCAACCCTTCATTACAGCCAATTTCCGGAGGGCAGTCAGCGCTAGGCGGTCCTTTCGGTGTTTTTTCTAAACTGAAGTCACAAAATGAACCAGAAAACGTTTTTTCAACCTGAGACTGGACATCGTAATATCATATGTCGTTCAGTATTGTTTTGTACTTCAGGCAAATTTGGTCCGTATCACAGCCAGGTGTTGTTTTTTAGACTGTTGTCATGCCGAGTGGCCTACCAAGCCAAGTCATTTCATCTTTCAAAGTACAGTTGATGTCACTGATTATTACGGTGACAAAGTTAGTCACATCACTTGCTTTTATAAAGACACACCACCGAGGCCTGCAATAGTCGCAGTAGCTCTATCGAATAGTGTGTTCTATTCAGAGCATTTGAGGTTGGTTTCCCGTGTATCCTCTTGACAGCCACCAGCCGTTGAATGTTGAAACGCATTGTGTACCGGCCGTAAAGCGACCACAGAATCTGACATAGTAGGTATTGTGACGGAAGAGCTGTTCGTAAGTAAACTTCATGTTGCACCGCATTTAGCATACAATAAAGAACCCATTCGGTCCGTAATTCTGCATGATGCTATCTTGATTGACACGTAAGTGATCTGGTGCACATAATCCAATTACATATGGTGTACGTGATTGCTGTAAGCCGAACCTGTTGAACTGATCCGTAGTGGATTCGCATCAATATTTGCCTGCATTCGTTCATTTGCCACCATATCTGATATCATTTTGTGCACCCATCTTGCCTCAACGTACAATAACACTAAATACTCTCATGCTAAAAGCTTTGCGGCATCAGTCTGCTAATGTGATGTCTGGCGGTAAGTATCCTACGCTGGTCGCTCGACTATCGGGTGGTAAATTCATGAGAAGGAAGCTTGGTTTAGATTTGGTCGCGGATTCATCATTTCAGGTTTTGCTTGGGGGCAGTTGTTCTAACAGCGCCATTTGCTTATTAGTCTGAAGACAGGCTTGTCTGCGCCAACTGGTGAGAACACAGAAACTGTTTGGGACCTGCAAGCCTCTTCTTCCAAAAATTTCTAGTCTTTCAACCCCTCTTGGCCGAAAGGCATTGAGAATGCTTTGAGCGCTATTTGCAATTAATTTTTATGGATGCCCCTATTGGATAAGTACTATTTATCATGACATTGCTCAAGGAATCCATTTGAAACCACTCCGTATTCATTTTTGGTCATCTGCTTTTCAGGGGTACACATCCAGTCACTATTCCGCTCCACTACCAACCACTAAACCTTCTTCCATCTTACTGTATGGCAATCGTCTATTTTATAAGCGCAAGTTGAAACTGATGCATCCGAATTTGTCTGAAAAGCCTCATCGTCTTGATACACATCTTGTATTGGTTTCGCTCCAGCCAAGATAAAGCATGGACACGCTTTTGTGATAATGAGTTGCATTTGAATGACCTGAACCAAGTGGAGGAAGAGTCTCTGAGGAGGCTTGGAATTATGTTTTCAATGACCTATTTAAGTTTAATTGTTGGGAAATTTTGTTTCTCTTGAACGCTGCACCCTTGAAAAACTGGAGTTACCACAAAGTTGCATAGATGTTTAATAATTTCATTACCCATACCAACTCTAAACCAGATCTAGGTGTTTACAGTGGTTCGCATTTCTGCTAACTCATTACAGCCCCTCCCCTGCGCAATGTACATCCTTAGGTCTCGATTCCTAACTTGCAGGTCATTTATCCCAGTCGATGGGATAATCAAACATCTATGTCTTAACAATGGCAAAGGTTATAAATCCACTCTGGGCACTCAGTTTACTGTCCACTATTCCCAAGTTTCATCCCTCTTTGTCTGACGATGATGCGACAACCATCAATTTTAGGGGGTTACGGTGACGATTCTCATCAAGTCGGAGCCCATCTATCAGCGATAATGATACCAATTTCATGTGTCCATGTTGTGTTTCAATTTTCGAAACGACTGCGGTTCGGTCTTTAGATGAAACTCATTCACTTCTAACTTGACCTTTTGCCCGGACATCTCATGTATTCCGAATCCAAAATGCGATTTATGCGTAACTTAACAGGCTCATTAAAATCACACTGCATGACGTTACTCAAGCAATTCTTACCACAAAAAGATCGCGTAAACATTTCCCCCCTTTGCAAAAGCCCTTGCATTTCACCAGATCAAGCAAGACTCGTTGGTCAAAAGACTCTGGCCCAAGCCTCTCCTCCACGAAATCTTGCATAACTTCCTACCGCTGCTCCCTCCCGGCTGACGCTTTCACAACTAATGGAAATGCTATCACCCATATCACAGAGATAAAAGATTTCGGCCCTAGATTTTCCTTTTCCCACCAGCTGGAGTCTCACGTTGCCAGAGCACACAAGCTTAGTTTTTTAACACTGCGCTCCTGTCATCTTAGAGACACAATGATCGCAAGTTTTGAGCTATTGCGTAAGACCAATCGTGGATTTTTCTCCGGCGTTTTCCTGCCTTTACACCCAAAGTTGCAGAATCGCAATTGAAAGTGTCCAACACTTATTCACGAAAAAACTGTTTCCTTGGTCAAACCCCTCTCTTACCGCTCCCGATGTAAAATGCTAGGCCTCGAAACACTATGACCCAGACGGTTAAGGATGAGTCTAACTCTCTTACATTGTCTGCTGCACAAAAACGCCTTTATGGCAGGGGATAGACCAAAAGTGAACTCGCGACATCGCTACAGACTCAGTAACTTCCGCAACGTCCTAGTGTGTCCTGCAGATCGTACACACCTACGCCACAACTTCCCTCCAGTTGATTACGCTTGAATCTGAAACAGCCTTCCTGAGCAGCGAAGTATCACCAATCATCATACTGTTTCCCAGGTCGTAGACAAAGTCCTTACCTGTGAAACTTCTGCCGCCTTACTTAGTACCCAACTACCTTCAACCTCCTCTACGAATCGGGTCCAGTGTGTGTTTGAATTTAGCGACGATACAGTTATTGGGCAAGTGAAAGATTCGGTTATTACTTCTTCCCGCCCTCTTGGCTCGCTTTAAACTAATGCGGGACTTCAATGCCTAATTGATTTAAGTGTGCAGTGTTACTGGCCTCGTTGTTTTTCTTCCCCTCAGCCAACTTACACCTCGTTCTAGTCTAGTCCCTACCCCGGATTACTGTGTTTAGCGACTATTGCTCTCGGCTAACTCTACTGACAAAATCCAAACCAGTCAGCTTTTTTCTTCATTACCAGAGAGCATTCTGCGCATATGTATACATATATATATATATATCCATCCGATGATCTGCCCCACTAAACACTCTCACAATTTCGAGGTACGCTTCTGCTTGGCATGGTAGCTCACACCAATACTCCGACGCCGTTTAGCCATGGTGCACTCGCCGTGAATATCACCGTTCCATTCCCACTGTCTCATTGACAGCTGTCATTTCACTTCTTCTCTGCTACTTGCCTCTACCAGCGTCTGTATGGTGTTTGCTTGTTCGAATTGACTGAGCTGTCTCTACTGGCCTTGCTTCACACTGACTAGAAAAATTGGTAGCTGGAGTATTTATTATTGCACAACCAGCATTTATGACTGCTTAGATGATTGTCCATCCTGCAGATCTGGTTCCATTTTGTTTCCTGAGCCAGCCTAAATGAATATTGCTGCTCAAAGAACCGTACATCCCAGCCCAATCACCTTGAATGTGACATCCGTTACGAGGCTGTCCAAAAACTGAGGCATGTCGGGTCAGTGATGACACGGCACCGCCACACCAAGTTTGATAGCACACTCGCAACTCTTCCGTTACTTCTGTCGACCCACTCGTTCCATCAACTGCAAATACGGCAAACTACCCACCTGACCCAAGCTGCCTCCATGAAATATTCGTTCCAACCTGATGAACTACCGGTTCGAATTTAACCATCACTGAGTGTCTGTGCTTCCCACAAAATTCAATAACTTTCTATACAGTTCGTGTTCCGGCTCGCGTGTTGCCATCATCTCATTCTTCCAAAAGCCTGCTATGCCCGACTCCAAAACAGCGTCGCCGGTGAGCCTTTCCAGCTTCATTGTTCACCATGTTTCTGTGAATCCTGTTGATGCTTTCCTAACCCCTCCCCTACCCGTACCGGTCTGGTGGTGATCATCCCCACATGGGATAATGCCCACCCCCTATGATGCTGTCCCTCTTCCTAATCGCCTGTGCCCACAATCCCCGTCAGTCAGGCTTTTATTCTGACTGTAACATTATCATCATACCTGGCGGTATGCCACCCACCACTTCCACTCTTTTATCTAGGTTGTAACCGCACCATGTAGAGTTCATGCCCAAACTCTGAAAGTGCAACACGACCAGGAACAGATGTTTTTCTATGGTCGCTTGTGCGTGCATGCTTTGAACTACTAGTTCATTGTTCGCGGAAAAAGACGACACAGATGTTGTTTATCTACACTCTCTAAATATTCCCAAATCCAATGCAGTAGAAATCACACGAACAGACCAGCTTTACCACAAATTTCCCGTGCCGGTTTCGCTTAGTCATTAAAAGCATGGATTCTGCGCACGGAGTATACCTTGAGTTCGGCCTAACAAATGCGAGCGACGTGCTACTAAATAGAGGGGTTCTAAGTTGTTGAATAGATAACGTCCAATGATTAAAATTGGTGCGATATTTACCCTGGTCAAACCAGGGTTACAGAGAAACCTGTGATGTGCCTTTAAGAATATGCACTTCACTGCACGTTATATATTGCTTTACTTGGTGCATTTTGTACATATTTACGCCACTTTATTTTGAAATATTTTTCTAAAACTGCAATGAGCCTTCAGATTTGGTAGTCCTGTCAGCATGATTTGCCACCAATTGGGGTGTTATTCGGCCTTCAAAAACGTTACTTGTGTGCGTCAGGTTTCTCCGTTGAACTACGAGGGCTAAGTTTGCTTCTGAATTGATTTTATAGCCTGTCGGGTTTGACCGGCTCGAAGCGTTTGCATAAGGCTATTTCTGCTTTCGCCGTCTACCAGGCGGACTGAACTCAGCCATTTTTATTCTAATTACCTAGGTTACATATTTAGCGGCTGTTTCGGATCGGGGGGGAGCTTTTTGAGCAACTTGCGCGCGCACCTCTACTTATCTTATTGGTCAAATTCGTCCATGCGCTGTTGGTGTTCGTTGACTAACCCGGGCGATACATATACTATTGATTGGTAGTAGCTCCATTTGGGCATGCGATTCATGCACAAGCCAGCATTCTGATTGGTTAGTTGTGCACAAGCCAGGAAGCGCGCGCGTTCAAATTGCATTTGTGCACAAGCCAAGAAAAAACAAGTTAAATGGTTGAAGCGTATAAACCAAGGAAAGATGGACTGTCAGTGCAAGCGAGAAAATAGCCTGGAACAATTTTAATGATTTATTGCAGGATACCTCTGCTTCTATGCGTGAAATACTTGCCATAGTACGTTTATAAAATAAAAAATCTTAACATCACAGAATTCATCCGCGAACCTTAACGTATCCATCGAACCGCCTTTATTCACACAACTTTCTTCTGTTTACCCACATCATTTCTTGCAATCAAAGCTTGGGAGGAACTCGACATTTGTGTTTTAGGAAATCTCGATTCAAACTTGACTATAGTCATGGATATGTAACCATAGTCAAAACTTCGCACTCGGAACGTTAAGTTGCTTTCATCTTGGTGAATCATTTTTAGTGCTACATATGACTCAGCAAAAGCAGTAGCATCCTACTAAATGACA